AGGCCTTAACCTAACGCATGACCAGCTATTCTTTTTAAACTATGCTCAAATATGGTGTGGATCCATGAGGCCCGAAGATGCTCTGACCAAAATTAGATCCAGCGTTCATTCGCCCGGTCCCATCAGAGTATTGGGTCCGTTATCCATTCAAAAGATTTCGCCCAAGCGTATGGTTGCCCCGTTGGTTCGCCGATGAACCCACCTGAAAAGTGTAACGTTTGGTAAGGTATCTTTATATCATGCACAACTGTCAGTGCCTCGACATTAGAGCTATAACAATTATCAATAAATAAACAATAAAATAATCGGTTTGTCGTTTTATTTTTGAGCTAGATTCGGGAAGTACCTACAATTTTTATGATAGTTAAGATAAGAAATGTATTGTTTCCTTTTATTCTGATGCGTGATTGACTAACGCAATGATGGAGAATGCAGAGTCAGGTTGTTCTCAGCCAAAACGTAAAAAAATATCCGTAAAAAACCCTAAAAAGTTAACAGAAGAAGAACTTGAATACTTTTTAACACAATCAGATAGTGAAGATGAATATATTTTATCGGAAGACGAATATATTCCATCTACAGACGATGAGGATGATGATGAGTTGGGTAAATTGGAAACAAGTGAGTTTAAAAAAGTGTTAAATTTGTATTTTTGTACGTGACGACGATATTTCGGGTATTGTGGATATGCGTGGAACCAATTAACTAACAAGGAATCAAGTTAATCTAATCTATTAATTAATCTCTTCCAAATACTACAGTCATTAACGGATTCCATGTTTATGGCACCATGATTACACCGTACATTTTTATTCACTTTGTGTGATTTATCGTAAAAAAACTTAAAGAGAAGTCAAAGATTTCTTTATTGTCATAATCCCATGAACTTGAAAAACTCTCCCAATGTCAAAGTAACTAAGTTGTCTTCCCATCAAAGTAACATCCCATGTCTTGTGCAGAACAAGTATATCAGAGACTAATAAATTTTATATGAAAGTAGTATTGTACCAACAAAAAATGAAATTTCAATGAGTCATTTCGTGATACTTATTGCGTCACTAAATTATTACGAAACTAAAAGATACCTTCTATAATTTCCATCTGTTATGTTACAGGGAATGTAATGATTCCTGGTCTGTGCGGGATAAAGCAATAATTTCAACATCGAACAATTTTAAAGATAAGTATCAATCGATACTGAGAGTGATTATCTGTATTTAATAACTTACGAAACATAACTAAAATACACCGGAAATTGCTTTCAAAAGAGACTATTTAAAAAATTCTAGGAAAATGTATAACCACAAGCACAAAATAATAAACAATCAGATTGCCCACTCTACTTGAAAAAGTAAGTACGCGCAACTCGTTCGCGCAGACGGAATCAGCCATGTTTTAAACGGAAACAGTGCTGTTCAGGACTTTTATCTGGTGTGCATAAAAAAATTAACACGGTTTAATTTATTTACGAACTATAGACATAATCAGCCCTATTCTGTAACTACAAATCGATAGAAATGAGTCAAATCGAGTAGAGGTCAGCAAGTCGGATCGGAATTTGTAGGAATCGGTATTCTGTAACTCACCTCGACCTCTACTATCGGAATGTTGTGTAGAAATTGATTTCGACTAGACAAGCTCTGTCGAGATCAAATTTCGACATCGGAATTGGTCTTGACGCTTGCGCATTGGTTGTTTTGACATTTTGCCCTATTCTGTAACTACAAATCGAATAGAAATGAGTCAAATCGAGTAGAGGTCAGCAAGTCGGATCGGAATTTGTAGGAATCGGTATTCTGTAAATCATCTCGACCTCTACTATCGGAATGTTGTGTAGAAATTGATTTCGACTAGACAAGCTCTGTCGAGATCAAAATTTCGACATCGAAATTGGTCTTGACGCTTGCGCATTGGTTGTTTTGACATTCAGTTGTTGACTTTTTGATCTAAATTAGCGGTGATTAATTTTTGTAGCTCCTTCATTTTTTAGTCTGTGGTGTTATTTATTTAGATAAAGTTTACTAAATAATTTATCTGCTCAGCAAATGTCTTTTTCTTTGCTTTCGCGCTTGCCATTTTGTATTCTTGTAACGAAATTTTCAAACTTAACCAAAACATGTCAAAACTACTTGACGTGAAAAATAATCTTCTTTTTTGATGAATTTTTTGCGAGCACTAGCCTTTCCAGTAACTTAACGTAACAGAACACTTCTTTCGCGTTTCAATGCGGGGTTGCCACAAACTTTCTGAGCGCGTCAAGTAGAAGTTGACGTTTTCGATTTTACACCGATTACGATGTGAGTTACAGAATGCCAATCCAAACACAAAAAACGACGCGATAGATATCCAACATTCCGATTTCGAGTAATTACGATTCGACTTGGTGATTTCTATTCGATTTGTCAAAAGTTACAGAATAGATCTGATTTATTTGTTGACTTTTTTGATCTAAATTAGCGGTTGATTATTTTTGTAGCTACTTCATTTTTTTAGTCTGTGGTGTTATTTATTTAGATAAAGTTTACTAAATAATTTAACTGCTCAGCAAATGTCTTTTTCTTTGCTTTCCCGCTTGCCATTTTGTATTCTTGTAACGAACTTTTCAAAGTTAACCAAAACATGTCAAAACTACTTGACGTGAAATATAATCTTCTTTTTTGATGAACTTTTCACGAGCACTAGCCTTTCCAGTAACTTAACGTCACAGAACACTTCTTACGCGTTTCAATGCGGGGTTGCCACCAACTTCTGAGCGCGTCAAGTAGAAGTTGACGTTTTCGATTTACACTGATTACGATGTGATTTACAGAATGCCAATCCAAACACAAAACCGACGCGATAGATATCCAACATTCCGATTTTGAGTAATTACGATTCGACTTGGTGATTTCTCTATTCGATTTGTCAAAAGTTACAGAATAGTCTGAATATGCACTATTTTCTTCGTACTTTTAGTTGAAGAATAGATTAAATTATTTCAAATGTACTAAATTATTAATCTCTAAAAATTTAAATTACAGTTCTGTCGTAGCTTGTCACAAATTTCTCAATTCGAATCATCGTGTTAGAATCTATTAGATTAGGTTAGATTCTAACTCGATGATTCGAGTCTATGTTTCCGTCTAAAACATGGCGTTCGCGTGCTAACAAACTTCAAAGGCGCCGTCTGAGAGTGAGCATTCATGATTGTTTATTATTCTCTGCCACAAGTTTGGTTATTACATTTTCGTAGAATTTTTTATCATAATCTTTTTAAAACGATTACAATATATCTTAAATACACATTCCAAAAAGTATACAATAAAAACAACATTTATTTTATAAGTATGCCATTATACATTATAAAGTTAAGATAATGCCTTTTACTTCGCGACAATTTGCCTATAGAAAATTTTCCGTTGTTTTCGTCACCTCATCCACCTGTCAATTCGCTTTAATAATATTATACGTCATTGGCTCTAATCGACTCAACCACAGTATATACCACAAACAGTAGTGTAAGTAGAATACGAATCGCGGGGAGCGTGAATTGCATGGGTCCAGCCGTTCATAATGGCGACGGCGCTACTAGTCACGTTAGATGGAGATGGAGATATGACGTTGATCGTTGATGTAAGTGCTGTTGCCATTGTTTCACTAGTTTTGCACATTTTGCATATCTATCCAAATAATATTATACTATAATATACTATATCTATACCACAGAATAATACACAAAGTTTATTATTCTGTGACTATACAATCTTTTCCAAAAAATAAAACAAAAATGTAGCAAATTCTACTAAAATCACTAAAATAAAACTTAAAATTACTTAGCTTTATTTCTAAAGGCTGTATGACACTATGCATTTTCTTGTATCATTTCTTATATCGTTTCTGTTATAACAAAAAAATGGATAGTGTCATACAGGCGTATAGTTTCTTATATCAGAAACGATACAAGAATTTGTGTCCGCTGCATTTTCTTGTACAAGAAATGCGCCAATTTGTGCGCAAAGCCGCTAAAACGTAAAACTTCTTTCATGTCATATTGGCGGATGGAGGCATAGAGAAATAAAAATAATTATTATTTTTATTTCTCTATGGCTGGAGGAGAACTTTGATATATACCAGAGATATGTAAGTATCTCTGATGTATACATACAATTAGGGCAAGCAGACATCAGAGAAAAGTGCCCACCAACAATAACCAAGATTAGAACATCAGTAGCCATATTGAAAAACAATAAATCACAGTGATTGTATCAAATAGCATCGGAACTTGGAACTACTGAAAGTAGGAGGAGATGTTTTACTAAAAACAATACATAACCGCACTAAAAATTCGTGATGAGTTTAAAGATTATTTTATGTCTCCAAATAAGAGAGTAGAGTTTCAAGAGCATACCATTCAAACACATAATTTAAAAAAAAAACAAATAAATTATTACAACCAAATTATTTATTATTTCTGTCTTCCATTACAACCTGTTGAATATCTTCAAAAATTGTGGTTTCCAATTTAGTTTTCATATTGGGACATTTTATTTCTTTCATTTTTGCACCACAGTATTTTTATTATAAAAATAATCAGTAGCATATGTTCTCAGTCGCCAGTAGCTTGGGGTCCTCAGGCCCTTGTTCGGTGCCTCAGGTACTGCAGTTCTATTTTTATAGGTGTCAAAATTTCGACCAATCATGTGCCAAATCACATACAGTTTCTGTAAAAGAACTTGCATAGTGTCATACAGGGCAAAAATGTACGTACAAGAAACGATACAAGAAAACATAAATAACTTTCTATATCAGAAACGATATAAGAAATGATACAAGAAAATGCATAGTGTCATACGGCCTTAAAATTCAGAACATATTTGTGAATTGACCGCCAAATGAAATTAGTTTCGGCCCGTCCGCATTTGCCGCTAAAAATTCTCTCACAAATCTTTCTATAAGACTTACCTTACTAGAGGGCTACGTACTGTGGACCCAACTTTTTATGTGTTCGTGTTCTGTGGTTAGCCGAACGCACCTAACCTTAAAGTTAGATATAATAAAAACATAATTGCGTTCACAACAAATCAAAAAAATTTGTAATTTTTGTTTGTTTACCATACATTCGATATGTCTGGTTCTTTGTTATATGGCGGTGACGAAATTGGAGCTTTAGTTTTTGATCCAGGACATCATTCTCTAAGAGTAGGATATGCCCAAGAAGACACACCAAAAGCTGAAATTCCGGCTATTGTGGGAGTAGCACCGGCACCGGAAGAAATTAAATTAGATCCTGAGGCAAAACCAGATGATAGCAATGTATCATCAAATGCTCCGAGTAAGTATAATTCTCATAATCAACATTTTCACCATGTTCAATTAGTGGTAAATGTAGATGTAATTTATAGGTTGCTATACAAACTGTAATAGTTCTTTCGAACTATTTAAACTTGTTATTTCTACTGCGTAGGTTGTATTACTACCAAAATCGTTTGACGTTGTGGTCCTGTTCGTACTGTGACCTGAAAAATCTTTTGTATAGACCCTACATGTACATCTTATATATTTTTCGGGCATTGACTCACAATTTCCTGCAGTTGCAGACAATATGTGTTCAGCTGTTTCCTCTGCATTTTGATAGAATCTGCGTTGAATTTAAAGTGATTTTATGTAATAAGTTTTGTTTTCCATATCAAATCATTAAATAAATGGATCATATCCCAAACTTCTTTCTACAATTTTAATATATAACATCTAGCACGGTCTTTTGAATGTTCCTGTTTTTTAATTCTTCTTCTTGATGTGCCTATCCGTTACAAATGTTGGTGATCATCATGGCAATCTTTATCTTATCTGCAGCAGCATGGAAAAGCTGCACAGATGTTGTATTGAACCAGATTCTGAGGTTCTTTAACCAAGATGTTCTTCTTCTTCCTGGACCTCGCTTTCCAAATATTTTTCCTCGCAGGATAGCTTGAAGGAGGGCATATCTGGATTCATTTCGCATAATATGTCTGAAGAATTGTAACTTTCGAGATTTAATGGTAGTCAGTACCTCTCGGTTCTTATTAATTCTTCTAAGGACCTCCTTATTTGTGACTCGGTCAGTACACAGGATCTTAAGTATTCTCCAACATCTCAAATGCTTCAAGTTTTTTGCACATATCTTCGTTCAAGGTCCACGATTTAACACCATATAAAAGGGCAGAGAAGATGTAGCATCGCAGCATTCTTACTTTGTTTTTTTAGCATTCTTACTTTTGCAGCATGTTTTTTAATAAACAACTGTTATTACTATTGTCCTTTACAATCTATGCTTATGAATCATGTGACTCAGTAACAAGAGGACCTGGGACTACTCCTTGTTAGTAAATCCCCTGGTGAGATGGAACAAAAAAATATCCCCCTTTCAAAAAAAATTCCAGGAAAACGCCCTTCTGTCATGCCTCTCAATGAGTGCTAGGTCACCACCATTAATCAATCACTTGAAAGGCTGAAAATGTACTCAATCTCTACATACTGAGTACCTCAAGATTCTCCATACACTTATCAGGCATATGGAATTCTCCAAGCATATGGAATTCCAGTTCTACCCAGCCTAGGTCGCACAAATATATCCACAACTCTCCCTTTGAATCTATTACAAGTAAATCAGAAATCAAACATCAAACCCTACCAATGTCCCTAAATTCAGTAAAAATTTCATTTTGAGTTGAGGACCCACTCTCAAAATGAAGTACATAGCCAGCAACCTTCCACTTGTAGAGTTTCAGAGGACATGACATCTATCCCTCAGGTCTGATCTATCCTTGCTCAGTTTTTTTTGTGTTCTTAATTTTGATTTTATCTTACTATGATATTATAGATATTGCATATTAATGTATTCTTATGTTTGCTTGTATTTTAGCTCACAAGTATTACATTGATACAGCTTATTTACATGGACCTAGAGCAAATATGGAGTTGCAAAGCTATATGAAAGATGGGATGATCGAGGATTGGGATTTGTTTGAAAAGATAATGGATTATTCATACAGCAAAGTAAGCATCCAAATCAAATTTTATAGTACAGTTGTAATTATTTTATCATTTTAGGTTATTCAATCTGAATCTATGTACCATCCAGTACTATTCTCAGAATCTCCATGGAACCAAAGACAAAAAAGGGAAAAGCTTACGGAAATAATGTTTGAAAAGTACAAAGTGCCAGCATTTTTCCTGGTGAAAAATGCAGCTCTTGCAGCATTTGCTAATGGCAGAGCCACTGCCTTAGTTATTGATAGTGGTAGGTTTTTAGATACTTAACAATTAAACTAATTTGCTGTAGTGGATGACATTCTTTATAATTTTTTCTCTGACTTCATAGTACAAAGTATATGAAAACAAAAATGTTCAAAATTTATTTCTTTTTAGTTAACCTTTTCACATCCAAAATAGCAGTATAACTCGTACCATTTTTTTCTTCATTGATAATTGAGCAATTTCTATTTTATTTACTATTTGTTTTTTAGTGTTTAGGTTTGCACTACATATATTATAATAATTTTTTCCAATAGTTGAGGACCAAAAGTAATAGAGTGCAGTATACTATAAAACATAGTGAGATAAAGTTAGTTTTCCAGTAGACCAGGAACACCCCTGTCTTTAATGACAGGCTAAAAATGTCAAAAAGAGGCCTAGAAAGTAAAAAGCTAAAGTGTTTAAGAAAAGAAGGTGGAAGACTGTCTGGACCTGGCCCCTTGTTGCTATCCAAAATGGAAAGTTTTTCATATATAGACAAAATAGAAATGCCAAATTGTGATAGGCTGATGTCTCCTGTTAAAAAGGTTTCATCCTGCAAATCAAAATCTTAATAACTATAAGTTTTGGAAAAGTATTCAGTAAATACATTGGCAATCTCCATGCCAGAAGAGCCAGAAATATTATTATTATGTATAACAGGGAAATATTATTCCCGTTTTTTTACTGTTAACAAATTTCTAGTAATTTTTAACATTATCTTTTAGAGGGGATTCAGTTAAAGCAATGTAATCAAGATAACATTGTTCTTTCAGTTGTTTACAGTTAGCATGTAATAAAGAAAACTCATTATACATGAACTAGAAACGATTTTTTACATTATCTTTAATGTTTGTTTGTAGTATGTAATATAGTGAGTGAGGTTGAGGTTTTCTGAGATTCTTGTAATCAATGGAACCTATTTCTAATGGAATTTTACAAACAAACCTGTAATGGCATTCTCCTGACGTATTCACTGACAACATACCATGATGTCTGATTATGATATTATGTGTGATTTTTGTTTTTAGGAGCAACTCATACAACTGCAGTACCTGTACTTGATGGCTATGTTTTAGCAAATGCTGTAGTCAAATCTCCTTTGGGTGGAGATCTTTTAGTTTTAAGGGCAAGAGAACTATTAGAAAGCATGGGAATTGATCTTACACCCACTCCTATGATTGCCAGTAAAGAAGTGGTTCGTGAAAAGGAGCCACCTAAGTTTACAAAAAAGAAGTTGAGTTTTCAGCCTTCAAATTCTTGGTTGAACTACATGATAAAGAAGACTATACAGGATTTTCAACAAACAGTATTACAGGTAAAAAAATTCATATTTTGTTAAATTAAAAAAGTCTAGCCTGTCTTTCAGGAGTGACAAAATATTATGGTTTAAGCACATCAAATATTGTTGCCTGCAATTTAAGACAAAACTGACAGATGCCAGGATTGTACTAGAAAAATGTGCATTTTTAATGAAATCAAAGCCATATTTTATTCCAACTTAAATTAACATTAACATTAGAAATTCATGCAAGATTTGAAATCTTTTTTACTGTTTAATGAAATATTCAACAATACAATAATAATTTTAGGTGTCTGAAAATCCTTATGATGAAAGGGCTGCTACAAGCATACCCGCAGTTCATTACGAGTTTCCATCTGGATATCATCAAGATTTTGGACCTGAGCGTTTTAAGTTAGCTGAAGGTCTATTTGACCATGCGATGCTGGGAGCTGGATATATAGGTAAATTTCATTGTTATATCATATCAAATTTAATAAGTTTTCAAAATTAATTTTGTTATGTCAAATTTGCCTATTAAGACATTGTCATTCATCATCATTTTTTGTTCCAGCTGCTACAAGTGCCGGTATGTGTGACGTTGATATTAGACCAGCACTCTACAGCGCAGTGGTTGTAACTGGTGGAAATTCTTTAGTACAGGTGAGCTAGCAGTATATTTTCCTAATAAAACAAAAATCTGATTATTGTTACTTATTTGGGTAAAATACGCTATCTTCAATATAAATTCATCTAGATCACAGAATTGATCATATTTTAAATGTTTATAGACACTTATACTACAAACCAAAATAGATGAATTTATACCATGTTCCGATTGATGATCAGCAGATGGTTCCTAACCTGTTTAACAACTACAAATATTACAGGGATACTTTAGGAATCATTCACTAGAATAAACATTAAATTTGTTTATTTTTGATTAAGAAAAGGATAGAAAAAAAATGAAGAGTCATCAATTTGAAAAAATTGGCTGTTCAAATGAAAACTATCACAAATGTTGTTCATAAGAGTAACTTTGATATTATTCAATTATTTGTCACACCTGTATGATATCCATGTAACCTTGGGAATGAAATACAAGGAATAAATAAAACTTGCTAAACAGGTGCATAAACCCAGGTAGTGCTAAAAATCAGAATAGAGAAAAAGTCATAGAATACAACTGTCCACTAGTACCAGTTTTTGTTGATTTTCAAGAGGCCTTCGAAACAATAGAATCGAATGGAATAATCAGGTATCTAACCCTGATTAAGAGTTTTATCAAATTGTGTATTGTGTCATATGTCTGAGAATTTTTGAAGTCGTAAAACTTTTATCTAAATGAAGGCTATGATATAATTTTTAAGAATCCTAAAAAGTATAATATCTTACCATGTATATCTGATTTTTTCTTTAGTATATATAAAATTATGTTAATAGCAACATATTTATTACTTGTTTTTAACAACATAGTAGAACAATTACAGAGAGTAAATATTTGAGAACTGATTTACATTCACAATTTTCCTTAATTTGTGAAATGTATTTCTGTAGCCTGGTACATGATACACTTTCTCATTTTTTCTTGCAGAATTCATTAGGAAAGGAACTTTAAAAAGTTATGTTTTATTAATAAACAATAAAAATATTTAGAAACATTATATAACAAGTTAATCACTGGTGACATCAATATGCCCAAATAACCACTTTTTTCTCTGTTCATTTATATTCCTGGTGTATATATTTAACGGTGTATCTTTAGATCAAGTGTCAGACTTATGTAATATAATTTTTTTTGGAAAATCCCTTTATATTTTATATTTTTAAGTTTTTAATAGTTCTACTTGAAATTTTATGTTTTTTTTAATATAATCCTCGTTTTAGGGTTTTAGCGATAGGCTTAGCAGAGACCTGTCGTCGAGAACGCCAGGTTCTCTCAGAATGAAGATGATCGCAGCTAACGGTACCGTTGAGCGCAGGTTTGGTGCCTGGGTTGGAGGCTCGATTCTAGCATCTATTGGTACATTCCAGCAAATGTGGATTTCCATGCAAGAGTACCAAGAGTGCGGAAAATCCCAGGTCGATAGAAAGTGCCCTTAAGATATAGTTTTATCATAAGACTTTTATAATGTAAATGAAGTATCAAATTTTTTTAGACATGTTCGAGAGTTTTTAATGTCTAACTGTATTGTGTAATTCTAAGTTTACAAATAACAATAAACCTATTTTTTCTATGATCATTGGATAAGTTTTTTTTATATGTGAATTCAAATTTGGAGAGAGGGTGAAAAGCGAGTTTCTGGCACCTTAAAACTGGAAGATGTCGACTAAGGAAAGAAACCCCAACAGAAAAAAATCCTGGTCTTCCAAGCGTGGGGGTTGGAGCGATAGGCCAGTCCCTCATCATCTGGAAAAAACTCTTTTGACTAAAAATTCTAACACTGAGCCTGGAATATGGATGGAAACTTACGGGGACACCTGGCAAAGAAAAGTACTTTGAAAATTGGTACTTGGAACACTCAAGGCATGACTCACAAGACAATGGAAATTTTAACTAAAATGACGAAGCAAAAAATGGACATCATAGTGCTCTCTGAAACCAAAAACAAAGGCCAAGGAAATGAACAGATTAAAGACTATCTGTTTAGATCATATATGGTTAGGAGTAGAAAAACACGTACACGCTAAATCAGGGGTCTCAATTTTTATAAAAAAATCGTTAAAAAAGTATATAAAAGACTATGCGTATATCTCTGAAAGAATTCTGACAAAAACTGTCACATTGTACGGCATCGAAACAATAGTTGTTGGAGTTTATGCGTCAACACACGATTCAAATCAAATATGAATTCAAAATACATTTTTTACGAGCTGTCAAAGAACGTACAGTTTTGACCTTAGACCATAAAAACTGATAGACACGCCTTGTACCGAACCGTTGAAGCAAAGACCTTCCGCGAAAGTGACGTCACAATGAGACAAGAGCCCGCTTGGATTCTTAGCAAAGCACTAGTATAATTACCCAATTTTAGATTAATTTTAATATAACTTCAATATTTTGTAAAAAATATGAAAGATAATATATTTAGCAAAGTAATTAATAAATATTTTTACCTAAAATTGTAAAAATAAATGTTTTATTTGAAAGTACATACCTACATATATTATTATATACATCGTTGGTATATCACTTCTTGTTTGATATTCAGAAATAAATTTAAAGGAGAATAATTTTCTTTTGGGTGGAAGTTTGAGGATAGGTAAAAAAATATGTAGGAAATCTATTAATTTATTGACCACAAAACAAAATAACTTTTGTTAACATACTTCTAACTCTTATTACATTATTTAGTTTTTCACCTTCGTGGTACAATCTAATGTTGCAATAATGGAAACAAATTATCTTTATTAGATTAAACAAATGGTTTGTTTCAAATTCATGATCAAACATATGTTCTTTGTATGCGTTAAACACAGAACCATGCACGTTACTCATGATATTTAAGATCAATTTTGTCATTATTTTGGAATCGTTTAATTTATTTGAATTGTACATAAATTTAATTTCGCTTTCAGCAATTTTGCAAATATGAATGACGTCTTTAGAAGGTTGAATTAAAAAACCTTTTGACATGCTATAATTTTTGTGTCTTATGAATGGAAATTGTAAATTATCACATTCAATTGCACACAAACATATGTCACAATCTAACGTTTTCTTAACGACAAACCCAGCGATATAGTCAACAACGTCACAAACATAAGATGACAATGTTCTTGAAAAACTTAAAATATTTAAAGTATAATCCTGATCCTGGTTACTAGTTATTGTTTCCCTATTATTTTCATCAGTTATAAAGTTGTCAATGAGTTGATGATCAACAGTTTTCATTTTCACAGTATTTGTTGTGCTCATTGCTAATATTATGGAAGGTGCCTGTTCTATACAATTAGCCTGGGTAGATCCTGTAACACTTGTGTGCATTAACAGTCTTTTATATGCAGCTTTAAATTGTTTTGCCGTTGGGTTGTTGTTGTAACCTCCATGACTCCTAATAGAACTAAAGAAAACTTCTAAGTGATCTTGAGAAAGTTTATAGGCCGAAAGATACTTCAGACCTCCATCCATATCCTCCACGTAATTTTTTCCAAATTCTTATTAGTGATTTTAAACTAATGATCATACCAATAAAACCCGTCTTTCTTTGGCTTAGATATAGGGGTTCACCATTTTTGGAACACTTAAGTAAACTAAGGTATTTTATAGATTGTTTAGTTTTTTGAAAAATCGCTTGTTTATTATGATGCTGTAAACTAGATTTTAGGTGTTTTGCCAATAAATTTCGTCTATTTAAAATATCAAAAATATCATTGATATGTTCAATGAAATTTTGAGTAGCTTCGCTATGTACAAATTCTTTTGAGCTTTTATTTCTCAAATAATGTATTGCCTTAGCAACTCTTTGGCTGAACGTTTGGGCAGCTAATTTCACTTTCATTTTTTCCTTATACCAATTTAAACGCCTTCGCGTTATCCTAGTTGCAAGATGAAGGCCTTCCTTCTCTTGGATGTCTACTAATTTTTGCAAATATTTCCATTTAATCTTATTATTATTTCCGTCAAAAAAAATTTGGTAATAACCTAAAGTATTGCGAATAAGTTTCAACATATGTGGAGGGTCAAACATTACATATATTGGTTGATTTGTTGCTGGATGTAGAAAATATACTTTATTGGAATTAATCGATAAATCAACTCCAAGTTGTTTAACCATGCTAATATTTGATGCTGCATCATCAAATGTTAGACTGGTAATTGTGACATCAGCTTCGTGCATTATTTTTAAGCACATTTTTATTAGATTACTTTTTTGAACACCTGATAACCCAGCGATTAAAAAGTATCCTATCGGCAGCTTCCATGAATCATTTAAACTATTAATTAAGAATACAATTGCTTCTTTTGCTTTAATTTCGTAAGAATCGCTTTGAGGTTTACTTCCTATGTCAAACATACCTAAAATTAATGATTTCAATTATTTAAATAGAAAATATAATGTTATGATACTTTTTTTAATTGCTAATAAATATTAAGCTACACTTACCCTAAAAACTTTTCACCATCCCATTCTATTTTCTGGTGTATAGACATTTCATCGACCATCAAAGCACAAATACATGATTTTCCTTTATTTCTTAGTTCAACTACTTTTTGTTTTAATACATTCACTGCTTCTTTTCAATCTAATTATAAAATGAAAATTATATATAAGGGAACAAAAAGTAAAATAATAGGTGCTAAATTTCTTGTATGTTTTTCAAGTTTAATTTGTGAATTTACTTACCCGTGAAATGATATATCTGTCCCTTTTTTGTCGCTGCGTACAATTAAATGCACTGCAAGATGCCACCATAATTATAATATTATTGTATTGGAAAAATTTTAAATTTAAACACTTTAAAACGTTTACAACGCGTATAAACACTACTAATCTCTACCGTTTCTGCCTCAAACTGATGTCACCCACAGCTGTGTGAATCGTTTTATGTTGGCTTCACTCCTCGAGACGGGAGAATAGCATTAAGGCACGTCTATCAGTTTTTATGGTCCAAGGTTTTGACCTTCAATTCTAACGCACGAACTTACGTTTTTTGCATTGTTAGTTGGGTCAACTTAAATAACTTAGGTGAGATCCTAAAGTCTATCATTGCATTATATAATGCAGTTTTTTTCACACTGTCATAGACTACTTTGAAGTGACGAAGAGATGGTGTGTATGGGTCATATTCTAGGGACTTTCCTAGAATCTGCCTATGTGCTTGAATTTGATGAGTGTAGTTGACTTTCCAGCAGTAAATCCGCATTGATATTAGGAAACAATATCCTTTGTAAAATGTTTGTCTTTCAATCAATACATTGCCGAAAATTTTAAACGCAATTGCTAACAGAGTAATGCCTCTATAGTTCCTACACTCCAGTTAATCACCCTTTTTATGTAACGGACATATGTTTCGCTTTAGCCACTCTTCTGGTACCAATTCATTCTGCAATATAAGTACTATTAATTTTTGGATTGCTGCAAAATTGATCACCACCTTTTTTTATACATTTCTGAACAGATTTCATCGTATCTTGGAGCTTTATTGTCTTTTGAGTTTTGGCAAGACATTTGACACTTCTTCTCTTGTCGGGTCTACACTGTGTAGTTGACGTTGTATATTTTGTTGATTTTCTATGTTTTAACCTTCAATATCGTTTATATTTAGATGTTCGCTGAAATGTTGTGCCCATTTGTTCAAGAACTGAGTTTTCATCATGTAGAATTTCAGTGTTGACATGTACACTTGTAGTATTTCCTCGTTTCACTTCTATCGAATAAACTTTGTATCTCATTGAGAGTATTCTGTTCGTATTCCCTCTTTTTATGTCGAGGGATACGATTTTTCTCCTTTCTAGCTGTTTGATGGTGTCAAAATAAAACTTTTAATTTTCAGTAGGTGAATCAATCATCGTCCTATGGCTATCTTCGTTCGATGTATGCTGTTGTGTATGGACTGACAGCTTAAATTAATCGATTTAGTTTCTGTGAGTAGGAAAGAGACGTCATATAAAAAGTAATTCGTGAACTATGTCATACTTGTGCAAATATCTAGCGTAGAGACTGTATATTCCATTCCTAAGCTGTAGTAGCAATGTACAGGGAGACTATTATTTTTTTTATTAAAAAGAACCATTGCCGCATCCACCAATAGGTTATTAGCGGCGTTACTCAGTAAACAAAACTTTAAACTAATACAAAATGTTGATTGACCTTAGGTAATTGAATAAGTTTTTTACGTGACAGTTTTCTCCTAATAAATCTAGTAGAGATTGTTTATTGAACGTTCTCTATGGTATTTTGGACACTCAATCAACAAATGGACGACGGTAAAAGGCGTAGCACATAGGTGGCGCTGGGGGCGTTCACTGGCTGAAAGTAAATAAGACTGTGTGATCTTAGTGTGTCCTATGCGAAGGCGCGTAAAAACCGTTTGAATAAACTGTGTACTAGCACTAGTTTTCCACTGTCGTATATCTGGTTTTAGTGATCTTAATTTAGATTGCGATAGAAACCATTCGCGCTGCCACTAACCAATTACTTTTTGTTTAAAAAACGTTTTGAAACCTTTCATACACTGATAAATTGCGTTAGGCTTTCACGGCCATCGTCTAACTTATTAAACTGTTTATTCGGGCT